ACTATTAATATTACTACTGTTATTTAACCCATTGTTAATATTGTTATGCAATGACCCACCAGACCAAGAATTTGCTTCTCTACGAGTGTTGGAACTAATTAATTGCATATTTTGTGGATTAGTTTTCTTTTTCTTTTTTGGCGGCATTACGAATGAATGAATAGAATTTGATTGGCTCAAGCCGGCTAAGCCGTTTAAAAATTTCTTAGCCGGCTAACATCACTACAAACCATCACAACTCTCAGGACGGTTTTTGAATAAACTCACTACAAAAGTCAGGATCGTTGTCAACAATCTTATATGATACACAAGGACAAACATGATCATTATAACCCCTCCCTCCGGGAATCAGACAACAAAAATATATATATGTAATTTTATTTTCTTCGTTACTACGAAACAGGAGCTGGTTTCAGCACCAGAAAAATTAAAAGAACCGCATAAAGATAATTTACAATTGTTTATTTTATTGATATTAAAAAAAATAAAAATTTCAGGTATTATTATCATCAAAAGAAATCTACAAGTCATGATGAAATATTGAGTAAATGGCATAACCCACTAAAATAACAATGATAATTTTTAAAATAATTATGATTTTGATCAGTAATTATGATGAGTTTCTAAAACCAATACTATTAATCATTCCATCAACTGTTCAAGGTGTGATCCTATATCCTAAATATGATAATATAATTGTATTGATTACTATTTGTTTATCTTTTGCAACATCACTCATGTTTTTGTATCGAAAAGTTCAGATGTCTCGGGCTCAGGGACCTCGAATACCTCGAATACCTCCAAAATTCAATGAATACCTAAAACATTTTTTTATAGAGTTAAAGACAATTTTTCTTAAATTTTGCTTATATGGTGGATGTTTTATAGGAATAACAGTATTTGTTATATTATTTATTTTATTTTGTTTGATTTTGCTTGGTATTATCACCTCTCTTTATTTTCTTTTTATGATTATTTATTTTGGTATTATTTACTTCATTATTGGTGCTTTTTTAATTATTATTTCACTAGGACTTGTGCAAATGCCAATACAAGCTTCCTTCACGATATTTGAGAGTCTTCCTGATGTTTTAATATCAATTCCTGTTAAAGATTATTTCGAATTTTTATTATATTTAGGAAGCTATTTAATAATGATTCTCGGCATTTAAATTTGTAGCTATTAATTTAGCATGCATGTATTTTTTAACTAGAGAAATTTAACAATGATAATAATGAAGTTTTCTTTCGCTAAAAAAAAGAGTGAAAAATAATGTTGATTTGTTACTGCCTGATGTGTGTTTTAAAGATAAATTTACAAAATTTATTTTCTGTAAATTATCACAATTAAATAAACCAGGAAAATAATATCAATTGGTACATATTAATTAAAATGTTTACCACTTGTTGTTATTATTATCATTATTATTACCATTTTTTAAATTACCTCTCGTTGTACCAGATATTTTTTGATTAGGTCTTAAAGTAATTTAAACATACACACCCTAGACAAAAGTTTTCGGACACCTGTTTTTACTAATTGCGCAAAACTACACATAATAACTATACATA